TGGGCTAAAGCATTCTTTAAAGCTCCTTTTCTAAACAGTCTATTTACTTTGAAGTCTTTGGCTATGCTGTAATTAATTTATTATTGATTTAATGATGTACATTTTAGGAATTAAAAGATGTCCTGCAACTACATTCCATGTGTCTGCACTCTGCACCCTATTTCTACCATTATATTTCTTAAAGAGAAAATATCTACGTCCAATTAAAAACTTATTATTCACAAAATAGAAAATGCTAACTCAAACTGTGGTGTTAAGTTCCTCAAAAGATATTTTTATTTTTTCCTGGTTAGGAACATTTTCACTTTCTTTTGCATTTCTAGATAATTTTCCTTTATTTTATCAAAATTTACATTTTAAAAAGTAAAATTTACTAACGCTTTCTAGGAATGGATTGATGAAAAGTGTTTAGGTTTTTTTCCATATTTGCTTGAAACTAAACTTAAGATATCTTGGTGTAGGGTTAACTTTAACTACAGAATTTAGTCTTTATCTTTGGTTCCAGAGAAATAATGTTCAAAACCTTGGAATTCTCCATGACTACAATCTTATTTATAAGCATTCTGAATCACACCTGAGGGTATATGGTAACGAAGCATCTCTTGGGTGGGAACTAGCAAGGCCAGAAAGATCAATTATGTGATTTTAATTCAACCTTAGTGGGAGGTGGGGTAGGGGATGATCCAATCAATCATGCCCAAATACCAGGCCTTATTAAAGACTTGGACATAGAAGCTCCACAGGCTTTGTGGTTGGTGATAGGTATCAGTGCACTTGGGAGGGACATGGATGCTCCACATTGGGAATTCTCCCAATCCCATCCTATGAGCCTCTTCATTTTGTATCCTTTTTTTGTTGTACTAAAACTGTCACAAATACAGTGTTTTCTTGAGTCCTGTAAGTCATTCTAGCAAAGTATCAAACTCCAGAGAGTAGTGGAAGCCAGTAGATTAGAAGTAAGTGTGTCATGGGGACTCCAAAACTTCCATCTGGCATCTGATAGCTTGCACAGGCTTGGCAGTCTGGAGTGCTGTGTCTAAATAGTGAGATCTGCTCTACTACTAGGTGGTTAGTGTTAGAGGAAGAAAAACTGCATGTGCAGTTGAATTGAATTGAGCAGATTATTGTTCTAGATTAAATTGTTGGCCCCCCAAATAAATCCTAACCCCTATACCTTTGGTTGTAAATCCTAACCCCTATACTATACTCTGGTTGGAAACCCAAAGAAGGGTCGCTATGAGTCATATCCAACTGGACAGCACATAACAACATACCTCTGGTTATAATCACATTTGGAAATGGGTTTTCTTTGTTATGTTAACAAGGCAGTTTTAGTGTAGGGTATGTTTTATGTCAATCTCTTTTTGAAATATAAAAGAGCAAGTTAGCAAGCAAGCAAGTACAAATGGAAGGGAGCATCCATGTTACGTGATGACCAAGGTACCTATGAATAGTAGCTGAAAAGAGGCAAGGACCTTTCCCCAGCACGTACAGAGTGAAAAAGATCCTTCCCTTAGAGCTGGTGCCTTGAATTCTGACTTCTAGCTTCCTAAAATGTAAGAAAATCAATGTCTGTTTGTTAAAACTACTGACTTCTGGTATTTCTGTTACAGCAGCACTAGATAACAAAAACAACTGCATTGATTTGTGAAGTAGAATTTTATTTTTTCACACAATTGGTCAATCTTTTCCATTAAGTGCCATGTTGTAGCACTCAAATTAAAACAATTAGCAACCAGAGAAGTCACATATGGATGACAATTACCAAAAACCAAACTCACTGCCATTGAGTGGATTTGGGCTCATAGCAACCCCCATTGGGATTCCAAGGCTGTAAATCTTTACAGAAGTAGATTGCCCCATCTTCTTTCCACTGAGCAGCTGGTAGGGTTGAACCACTGACTTTCTGGTTAGCAGCCAAATGCCTTATCTGCTATGCCACCAGAGCACCTTATGCTCTGATTGACAATTTATAAGGAATTACTCACTGCAAGCCAGTTGATTCCAACTCATAGAGATCCCCTTAGGGTTTCTGAGGCAGTAAATCTTTGCGGAAGTAGATTGCCCAGTCTTCTTTCTGTGGAGTGGCTGGTGGATTTGAACTGCTAGCCTTTTGGTTATCAGTCAAATGGCTTAGGCACTATGCCACCAGAGCTGACAATTAGGGAGGAATAAAATAGAAAGGTCCACTGATGAGAGAAGAAAGCCAGATTTGTTTCTTTCCCTACCTCTTTCTGTCATGCAAGGTGATTAGCAAAGAAATGCTGTGGACAACTTATCACTTCCACCCAGTTTCTCATTCAAACTCACTCAAAATACGAGAGTGTCAACAAAAGTGGCACTTTCTTCTGCTATTGGCTTCTGCTTAGTTCTAGAGTTTGGCATGGTGCTAGTTTCCAGCTTGCCAGCAGCTGTAAAAGCTTTATTCTATTTTATTCCCAAGGTTACAAAAAGAGGTGATTTCATTTATAACTTTAAGCACTGACAGTAAGAATAAAAATCGCTCAACATACGAACAATTTTAGAAACAACTCTCCATGCCATATTACATTAACACTGAACAATTTTATTATGCCAGCTCTGTTAAATGGGAGTAAGGTAGAGGTGTTCTTGACCTTTTCCAGGCCTACAATTATGCTATTGTTCATACTCAATGTGGTTTACACTTTCACATAATATTTGTTGCTTATTTATTTGTTTATTTATTTAAGAACAGAACTAATCTAGATGTATACATTGCCTCAGGCACTGATAATTTTAAAAAGTGTGTGTGTGTGTTTTAAGTAACCAAGATTACCAAAAACATATTGGCATCATGTGTTTAATGTGAATAACAATTGCTTAGGAAAATGGAAAAAAAACATCAAACAAAACCAGAAAACAAAACAAAACAAAAACCCTCTTTATGATTAGAAACAAAAAATTGAGTGTACTAAAGAATAGTTCTTAGAATTTAAAATATTAAGGATGAATGTGTGGTGGTATTTCTGGATGACCTAATGATCTATAAAATATTAAATGAATAAATTAAGGCCCCAGAGTGAAAATGCCATCTTAAAACACAGAAAGTGAAGAGAAAAGATGTATCAAAGCCTATAAAAACTGGAAAGCAAAAAGTACAAATGCTAATTGTTATAGTCCTGAGTTCAATTTGCTTTTATCTAAACTCTAGAGTTGTGATTCATTCATCTCAAATGGCTTTGAATATTTAAAAAATTACCTCCAATTGTTTCGGTGTTATAAAAAAGCGTAAGACTCAGAATAAATGATAAATTTCACATGGGAAAATTCTAAACATCATCAAACAGGAAAATTAAAACTGATCCCTAGCAATATTAGACAAATCAAACCAAAAAGAAAGAAAAAAAAAACAAATGCAAAAAATACTAAAGCACAGCAAGTTGGTAATGGGGCAAGTTAATTCATACACAAATGAATAAAATCCACTGGAATTTAAAAATTATATTCTCTCTCTATATACCAAAAAACCAAACTCACTGCCTTTGAGTTGATTTGACTCATAGAGACCCCTCCTTGGGATTCTCAGGCATGGTGCTAGTTTGAAGCTTGCCAGCAGCTTTCTACTGAAGTAGACTGCCCAATCTTCCTACCGTGGAGTGGCTGATGGGTTTGAACTGCCAGCCTTCTGGTTAGCAGTCAAATGCCGTAGGCACTATGCCATCAGAGCTCCCATATGTATATATAATGTTTCCATAAATTCTTCAGTGATGTTCAACTTTTATTAATAATAATATTTCAATAAATGAGCTTTTTCTATATTCTAACCATGGTAAACCTGTTCTAGAAGACAGTTTAGCAGCCTAATCGCTCTATGAAATTTCAATTACTACTTTTATTGAACAGAGTAGAGTTGCCATTTTAGCTGACAGTATTTATTTTATTATTTTTTTTAAATGAAATATTAGTTTTCAAAACTAACAATGTGCAATTTATTTATGTTTTCTTTTCGTAAAGATAAAGTCACAGAATCACAAGCTTCTAAAGTTAATAACCAATATAAAACATTACTTGGAATAACCTACCACACAAAATTTTCTCTATATATTTTCTAATGTGTTAACTCATGAATTACTTAAAAAAAATGCTCAATGTTGTACTAAAATTTGAGATGTTACAATGATACAGAGTCAGCATCTACCCTCACAGAGTTTACCATTGAAGAGAGAAAGAAAATATATAGCATTCAAGGAGAGCAGAAGAAAGGGATCCAACCTATGTCAGGCAAGATCTCTCTCTGGATCTGAATTAGAAAAGGTCAAGAATACAAAGGAGAGGGAACACTGAGTATATAAGTGCAGAATTAACAAAGAGTGTAGTTTGTTCTAAGAACTAAAAGGATACTAGTGGGAAATTGGGTTCTAAGTATAGGGAAGACAGAGATAATGGAAGGTCCACTAATCCACATTAGGAAATTTGGATTTATCTTAAAGGGCAACAGAAAATTATTGAAAAGCATATTCCTACAATCAATATTCCATTGTCATTAAGTCAAATACGATTCACAGTGACCCTAGAGGACAGAGTACAACTACCCCACAGGGTTTCCAAGGCTGTAAATCTTTATAGAAGCAAACTGCCATATCTTTCTCTGGTGGGAGAACTAGTGGGTTTGAACTGCCAACCTTTCAGTTCACAGCGGAGGGCTTAATCATTACACAACCAGGACTCCTTACAATCAAAATTACCTATGCAAAAATAAAATGAAACCTAAAGTGCCACTCACATTTTAAGAACACACTGGAAATAGAAGTTACAAGACCAAATAACAAAGAGCAAATATTGGCTTCAGAAGCATAGAAATAATCTAAGCTCTTTTAAGTATCAACATATCCTTTTCTACATCTTTTGGTGTTTCCTCTTTAAAACAAAAATGGTATATGCTATATGATCTCATTTCTTAGTGTGGCAGTGATAATAAATGACCTAAGATAAAGGCATGCCTTCCACCCACTCCCAAATGAAAAGTCAATGGTACTTACTACATCCAGCTTTATAGCTGAAGCCTGGCGGAAGAAGGAATCCTTGCTGGGCAGCTGCAGCCAGTGTCCGTTGATCAGGAGGGAATACGGGAATCATTAATGGCGGCAGCTGACCTTGAACCTGCTGAACGTGATAGAGCGAATCAAAGGGAAGAAGTTTTGCTGCTCCATACGTCCCACCCCCCTTACTTTATGATAAGAAAAATAATTTATTCAATTCAATATACTATCATAGAAGCTTGCTATAATATTCACTGGAGGATCATGCTTTGGACTACCTTAGACAAATAAAAGAAACAAAATCCTAGAGCTATATATTATCAAATTCAACCTATAACTTAATTACAATTGTCCTATGCAATATCCTTGCATGCTGAAAACACTATTACTTTGCATGAAAAGTCATTTTATTATTGCACTAAGGTAATTGTTAAAATAATTCTCCCTTAGACGAACTGAAATCTTCCTCTGTAAATCTCATACGTTAGGACTAATTCTACCTTCTAAAACGAAATGAACTAAACCTGCATAATTTTATATTATATATCAATAGATCTATTACTTGGAGATAATTCTCATGTTGACATATGATAATAAAATTTAAGAATTCTAGAATATTAGACCTGGAAGAGAGATTAGACTTTAACAGAAAGGGCAACTAGTGCCAAAAGAGAACTGATTTGCCCAGCGTCATAGAATGAGTTAGTCAGAACTAGGTCTAGACTCTAGTCTCTTAAACCCATACTGAGACCCTCTCTACTTTGTGTGTATCTTTGTCTTTCTTTTTTGAATCAGTAGAAGCACTCCACAAATCACATGGCTTCTGTTTTGGTTGCAATCTTTGGAATATACTCTAATTTGTTATCATGTCTGTTAGATAATAGGGTTCACATCAACAAATAAATAATCCAGAACAACAGAATCACTATCTTCTTTGAACTAAACAGGAATTTCTAGAAATGTAACCTAAGGTATTAGTCATTTTTGCAGCTATCAAAAACTCACTGCCTTGAGTCGATTCCAACTCACAGTGACCCCTTCTGAGTTTCCAAGATGGTAAATCTTTACAGTAGATTGCCCTATTTTCTGTCAGTGGAGTGGCTGCTGGGTTTGAACCACTTACCTTCTGGTAGCAGTTCAATGCTTTAGGCATTGTGCCACCAGAGCTCCTATTTTTGCAGCTATGTCACTTTTTTTTTTTTGGCCAATGCAGGTGTTGCCATTAACTCAATTTTCTTCTAATAAAGAGTTAAGCAAGATATCCCTGGTGAAGATGATCATGATCATTGGTTAGTGTTAATCATTGGTTATATGTAATATCTGGCATTTTATTCTTTCTCACTCCTTTTGTACATTAATGCAATTATTTTCAAAATATTTAATTAACATTTACTGTGTGAAAGAACCTAAGCTAGGAAGTAAGGATATAATAGTGAACATGAAAGCCAACATTCCATGCCCAGGAAGTATAGATTTTAGTGAAAAATATAGTAAAAAAATAAATAAGCAAAAAATACAGCAAATGAACAAAAAAAAAATGAGACATGCATTCCATCATTAAGCCCTAGAGAGCACCACTGAAGTATTTTTCAACTTGTTTTCTTTCTCCCACTGGCATTGCACATTCCCAAAATTTTCTTTTCTTGTTTTTAATTCTATGGATCTCATCATTTATCACTTTAAAAGTCTGTCTTCAGTTTCTTTCTTCTTCAATTCATTTTTCACAATAAACCCTGAGCGATTTCTAAGATTTTGTTTGATGTTTGTGTGGCAGGGGGGAAGGAGGAGGAAAGAAGTGATAGAGAAAAGAGAAAAGTTGGAGGAGAGGAAGGAAGAGAGAACAGGTAGAGTAGGGGAAGGAGGGAGAGGGAGAGAGAACATGATGAGCATTCTAAGAAAGAGAGATCTGTGTTCATCAATAACTCCAAATTGGATGTATTTCTTTTAGTCAAAAGTGTTTTAAACTAATCACTGCCACCAGAGTGAATGACAAAGGAAATGACAACAATCAGAGAAACAAAAAGCCATAGTGTATTACAATAAAAAGTTTATATTGATACAGATCTCTCTGGAGATTTCTGGAGAATATTTCTGGAGAACACTGAGAAAAATAAAGATAAGCCTTTTTTAAAAACAAACTGAAAACAATGGATTAAAGATTCAAAAATTAGAGATTGCATATTGAACAGATATGTAAGATGAAGTGTTCTAAAACAAAAAGCAGACATACCACTACAAACCAACATGGGGCCAGTTCAGTGTCAGAAGAAAATGCAGACCAGAATAACAACCAACCAACCAACCAGTGAGCCACGCTGGTTAACGGTTAACACTAGCTACTTCATGTCCTTTATACTTGTACGTAAGTATTATATTTTATGTAACACACTTACTCTTGTCCAAGATGACACTGGTTATAAGATATACTATACATTTAATAAGAGTGTTTTGGTAAGGAAAAGAGGTAAGGAACCTCAAGTTAAAGTCATGCAAGGGTTATAAGAGAATTTCAAATTTCAGATGCTTAAAAATGTGGACAAAACATGTTTGAGAACTTTAATGTATATTAGAATTAGCTGCCATGCTAGAAAATCCCTATGTCTAGGCTTTTTCCCACACCAATTAAATCAGAAACTCTGGGGGTGAGACCCAGCTAACACTATTTTTAAAGCTCCTCTGATGATTGCAATGTGCAGGCAAGTTTCAGGAGCATTGTGTTTAGAAAGGGTTTCAGTACCTGTCAACAAAACTTTTTCCCTCCTTCGTGCTTTGCCCTGAGTTACAAAGCACATCCAGATATATAAATAGTGGAAAGGGAGATTCTGCCTGACTTTAAGGGTTCTGGTACCAAAGGGATAAAACCAGGTATTATGTTATATTCCTCACAGAATTTCTTCTAAGTAAGTTTTGTCTATGTATTTTGTATTTCCTGCTTGTTTAAAAACTTTTTGATGGTTTGATAATACCTAGAGAATAATAAAGGAATTCTGGTGGCATAGTGCCTAAAGTGGGAGCTCTGGTAGCATAGTGCCTAAGGCACTTGACTGCTAACCAGAAGGCTGGCAGTTCAAATCCACCAGCCACTCCTTGGAAGGAAGGTTGGGCAATCCTACTTCCGTAGTGATACCGCCTCAGAAACCCAAGGAGGGGTCGCTATGAGTCAGGGCCGACTCGACGGCACATAACAACAACAAGTGCCTAAAGCATTGGACTGCTAGTCTGAGGATTGGTGGTTCAAACCCACCAGCAGCTCTATTAAAGGAAGATGGGGTAATCTACTCCTGTAAAGATTCACTGCCTCAGAAACCCAATGGGCGTCGCTATGAGTTGGCATTGACTTGATGGCAGTGAGTTTGTTTTTTTGTTTTGTTTTGTTTTGTTTTGTTTTAGAGAATAATGACCAAATCCCTCAGCACAGTGTTCAAGATTCTTTATATGTATTTCTAGTCTAGTTCTCCTGGCATTTCTCCTTCCCTCCTTGGCATACCCTGTACTCTTGTCCCAATAGACTATGAAGAGTTTCTAGCATATTCTGCATTCTTCCCTGCTGGAATATGTTTAATTGTACTTTCTCCTTTGTTTTGAGTCATAACTCTTTCCTTCTCTTCCTACAAAATTCTACTTCATTGTCTTTTGTGAGTCACATATGTCTATGAAACACTTCTTATGGTGTTACCTTTCAGACAGAATTTTTAAACTCATAAAGTTGACACCATTTTAATCTCATAAAGGTAACACCACTGAAAAATATTTACTTGTATATTATTGAATCTCTCCAAGGCCTACAAGGTTATTTAGGAAAGGAGCAATAACTTAGCTATCCTTGTATCTTTAGAGCTTAGATAACTTTTGAAACTGTCCTATGTAGTGTTGATTTATACACACAAATCCAGAATGAATCATACAGGCCCATCATTCTAGTTAAACCTTCACACACTACTGCAAATATCCAAAAAAGTCTGTGGACAAAAACAACATTAACTAATAACCAGAAAGGAATCCAAAATTCCCTTAAGAAGAATGGCAAGATAAAGTATCAGTTGCTTTGTGTTCCTACATTTAAGGTATGGGTAAGAGGTTTTAGCTTATGCTTTATGATATATGCATGACTTTTAGAATGATGCATACATAAAGAAATAGAAAAGTAACCGAGAAATACTAGAAATTTATTTTACTCTTTTGTAATGGACAGGTGTGCCTGCCTATATTGTGTTAATAGCATATTATTTTAATTACTATAGCTTTGTTATATTTTAATAATAGGTAAATATAGTAGCTGTGGTAGTTAAGTTTGTGTGTCAACTTGGCTGGGCCTGGTTGAGTGGATGGGCAGCTGGATGCAGTTATTCCCCATGGTGAGATTGGTAATAAACTCCATGGTGGACTCTAATGGAGCAGCTGAGTAGCTGCTGTGAGTATGTGGTCTGCTCACTGTATGTAAGAAACAGCTTTGGGAACGGTCTCTTGCTTATGGCACACTTGAACCCTGCATGGAGCCATGTCATTGTTCAGCAGCCTGCCATGCTTTGCTGACCTTGGGACATTCCATGGACTTGAATTAATGGCCTGCC